GATTCTTGCTGGAGGCAGGACAGGTGAGCAGACCTCCCTTCCTGCAGGATGTGGAAGGTGTCCAGGGTCATCAGGCCTGAGGCAGGAGTTGTGGCTAAACTGGCTTGGCAGAGGAGTTTTAGGAGGATGTGCACAGATGTACCTGGGAGGAGGCTCAAGAGCTTGACTGCAGCTTAGTTGAGCAGAGCGTCTTTACACCCAGATGTAAATGTGACTTCTGTCTAAGGAGCATTTCCTGATTTAATGAGGGAACTAAGAAACATAATGAGAAGCATCATTATAAGAAACAGGTGTGTCCAAATGAACAGAAAGTCCATACCTGCAACGTAGGTGAGCTGTGCTTCTGGTCACACTGACTGAGGTCCACTCTGTCTGAATTAAGGTAACAAACAGCTTTGCTACTGTGTTTTTGTTTCTTTCTTCCAAGTTATCACTCTTGCAGTCTTTCTTAGAGACTGTCATTCCAAAAATACCTTTCTCCTTTATCTCATGTGTAAAAGTTATTCACAAACGTCTTGTTTTCTCAGTTGCCAAATATGTGTAGCCCATGGTAGCTGTAGGCATGTGGCTTAAAGAAGGTAGAGGGTGCCATTTTCCTGTATGAATAAACATGTGTGTAACATGCTTTATACAATGCTTTGTGTTCTGTGTGCTCTGGAAACTGGACCTAGGGGTGTCCCACTGAGGGTGGAGAAACTTGCCTGGCTGTCCCTGAGCTCTTGGCTGCTGTCAGTGCGATTGACTGCCGTAGTCTGTTCAGAAGCGCAGTGATGCCAGGGGATAGTGCAGAGGCCAAAGTACAATTTGGTAACTTTTGATGAATCATCCCTGAAGTCACCATTGCAATCTGAACAATGAACACGTCCTCGGCAAATCTTCTCCCGCCCACTTGCCTCTGCCCTGCAGAAAGCCCTGCTCTGTGTTCTGCCCCTGTGAACTGCTCATGGGATGGGTCCTAGGACTTTTTATGGTATACTCTTTTGAGGGACGTGCCCTGAGGTCTTCCACTCAGCATCCCAATTTGAAATCTATGTAGGGGTCTGCATGTAGCTCATTCCTTCGCACTACTGAGCAGTCTTCTTCCATTTGTTCATGCCTCACCTGGTGGAGAGCTCACCCACAGTCTTGTGTTTTCTCTGCAGACAGCATTGTCACTCATGGCTGGTTCTCACACTGTGCTTTTTCATCTCTTATTCTATTGGGCTCAGGATAGAGCTATACTGCAAGTGGTGGTCATGGCATCTCTGCATTTTTCCAAGACAGAGGAAAGGTTTTCACTATTTCACCATTGCATGTCATGGTAGCTGAAGGTTTTTTTTTTTTAATAAGTGTTGCTTATTAGGTTTAGTTTTCCTTCCTGGTTAGCTGGATATGAGATTTTTTATCATATATTGGTGTCAAAATTAACACAATACTTTATATCACTGGAATCTATTTATTGATATTTTGTTTAGACTTTTGTAGCAGTGCTTATGAGGGACTGTGGTCCATCTCTTACAATGCCTCTGTCAGGTTTTGGGATGGAGAGCAAGCTGTGACTTGTTTTTCCTGCTCTCTGGAAATGTTTATGTAAGGTGTAAGTGGTACTTACAAGTGAAGCCACCTAGACCTGAAGTTCTATTGTGGGATTATTTTTAAAGATTCAGTTGTTCAGAGATGCAGGACTATGAAGACTTTCTGTTTCCTTGTGATTGTCTAACTTGTTTGCATAAAGAGTTTTGAAGCACCCTGAAATCAGCTTGTTGACATGGCCCGCCCTGGGCTTCTGATGTGGCAGTGCACACCTCCTTCTGTCCTTGTGCCCAGTCTCTTTTCTAAGTACCAATGCTTCCTTCTTGTATATCTCTCTTTATTTTCTGTTCTTATGTCTATTATTTATTTCTGTTCAATTTTGTTGAATTTAATTTATTGTTTTCTAGCTTTTATTTTTTGTTTTTTTAGGAGACCAGGTCTCATTATATACCCTAGACTGGTCTGGAACTCTTAATCTTCCTGCCCCACTCTCTTGAGTGCTGGGATTACAAGCACTACCATGCAGCATTTTCCTTTTTGTTTATTTTGTTTTGTGTTTCAGTGCTGGAACAGAACCTAGGGCCTCAGAATACCAGGCACTCGACCACTGAACCCCAGCCCCAGTCCACTGCACTGCATCCCAGTCCTCTAGCTTCTTGACATGGGTGCTTATATCATTGACTTTTAGCCTTTCTTCTTTCCTGATATATTTAAGCTGTAAATTTCCCTTTAAGCGGGACTTAGTGGCAGGCTATAAATTATGAGGTTTTAAGATAAGTTTAAGATAAGTTTTCCTCATTATAAAGGAGTATATGCTCAATGACCTAAATGTGGAAATGAGGCAAGGACAGCAGAAAAACAAGCAGTCTGTACTCACCTCCCTTGCAGTGACCACTTGGTTGTCTTGATGTGAGCTAACAGTGGCTCTTTCCCTGTCAAAAGCAACACACGTTTGTATGAGGAATTATGATAAATGTTATCAGTTTAGAACCATTTTGCCAACTTCATCTTTTAAAATTGCTATTTTATAGTCTCTCTTAAAAATAGCCCATCAATAGTCTAATTTTTCTCCACAGGACACAGTTTGTATTGTAGTCTGACAACTTAGAAAGAGAGAGAAGCCACAGAAAATGCAGTTGTTCACTAGCTGGTCAGCCTGGAAAAGGAAACTTGCCCCTGACTGCTGCCCTGGGACTCCTTGCATTGGGTCCCAGGTGCGTTTCCTTTGGTATGATAAAATGCCTACGGATTCTTTCCTCCAAATTAATAGTCAAGCACTTGGGGAGAAAAAAGACAGCAATAGGAAGAAGTTTTGTCTTTTTAAAACTAAATCTGGGAAGTAAAAAAAAAAAAAAACACATTCCATAAATAGTGGCCATTTTTGAACATTGACATCTTATAGGCACACACAGACCTAGGGTCAGCTGTTCAGAGATACTTGGATTCAGTATTGATTTGTCAGCCATGCTTAGCAGGTCACTAATACTGGTTCATACTTACAGTGAAATGGAAAAAATGCTGTATTCAAAAATCTGATGAGTGAGGGAAGTGATAAAAATACTAATTATGGGCTAGACCATAATCTTATATCATGGGTTTATGAGGAGTAGTTTTGGCTTCATGCCAAGTTCGAGGTAACAGTAGGCTTCGTAGATACAGTTGCTAAGTGTATCAGGAGAAAACTGAGAACCCCCATTCAAAAATAGCAGTAGAATTGTTCACCATTTCCACAATACTGTCTAATCTGACAAGGACACAAAGCTGGATGGCAATCAATGTCAGATGAGAGAAGAGGTTTAGTACTTTTTAAAATGCGTGTTTTGTGTGTCCTTATATTGGGCAAGGCGCAAGGTGACTGGTTACACAGTTTAATAGGAGTTAGGTGCACATACAGGCTCTGCTGTGCAGACAAGGGAAGTGCATCAAGCCAGGTGGCTCCCAGGTGCCATGGACAGCACCTTTGCGGCTGTCACGAAAACAGGTAGAGTATGAGAGCTACTTGAGGAACTACAAGATGGCAGATGAATGAGTCATAGTCTGTCCAGTTTCAAGGGGAAGATTAAAACCCTTGAATCAAAGTTATAGGGAAACAGGATTTTATTCAGTATGATAACATCTTCCCTGCATATCATGTTTCACAAATTTCAAATGCATTACTTAATCTTGATTTCTCACAAGAATCTGTGTTGGGTTAGTGAGCAGCTCAGAAAAGTAAAACAAGAACTTTTTAAAACGAGAATTGTCTGAAAACCAAACTGCATGGAGCTGGGTCATCTTTGGAGTTGTAGATCTATCCAGATAGGGCCTAGAGAGGCGAATTAGCAGTGGATTTGGCCTGTGTGCTTACTAACCTTCAAGGTATACAGGTGTGGCCAGGATAGAGAGCAGAATTTTGTCACTACTTCTTATTCTCAGGTGTTAGTACCTCCTCTGTCCCCAGTACCTGGGCCAGTTATGCACTGAGGCTTTCCTTGTCCTGCTACTGGCTATTTATACACTGGGCATTCCTCCTTACCAGTAGTATTCATGGCTGACCCTGGGCACCATACCTTGTCATTATACCTCCTCCCCCTACTGTCCTGCCTCAGCCACCTGTGCAGGGCTGAACTGTTCTGCCAGCACCTGAGGGTCAGCTGTGGGTATTTCTCCCCATTCAGTAATATGGAAGTGACAATCAGAAGTCATACATACTGAGAGTATTTACACCTCAGTAATTGCTAAATGGTGTAACTCAGGACTTGTCCAGAGAGCTGCTGTTTCCTGTTGACCTATTTCATTAACACAACAACTTCTGCTAACCTGGAGCCCAGACTAAATCTTCATTTCAAGTGACCTGTTGCTGTTGCTCATTCAGATGGGCACATCCTCATTATGTATATTTATTTCATTCTTGCACACAAGTAACTCCTACAAGGTACTAAATTAAATGTAAACAACTTAAGAATTCATGGATTTCATTATTTTATACAAGTATATATGCTAATTTTAAAAGGAGGGTTTTAGCTGGAGGTGGTGTTACACACCTATAATCCCAGCACTGAGGACGCTGAAGCAGGAGGATAGAGAGGTCAGGGCCAGCCTGGGTTACATAGCAAGCTTAAGTCCAGCCTCTATTTAGTGAGACCCTGTCTGCAAAAAAAAAAGAAAGAAAGAAAAAGCTTTTCCCCAAAGCCATAGAGAATGAAATTTTATACCCAATTACTCTTATAACCTTAAAAACACACTAAACGTCAGAATTGTAACCACTGTGACAACGTATGCATCTGTGAATGTCTTTGGGGGAAATAGGTTGTTAATTTGTACTATGATTAGTTCCAGGGTCTTTGGTAGTGTGATTGCTTGAGGTAACACTGAGAATTACTGAAGTAAACTGTCCAAATTCCTTTTCTACTAAAACTGAAAGATTCTGATGGAAAATTTATCTAGCTTAATGGGCTTGTTATGATTCCATTGTACTGAAGACTATTGTACTTGAATATTTCTAACAGATCTGGATCCTCATGATCAACCAAAGAGAAGAAGAATTAGGAAGCATAAATCAAAGAAAAAATTTAAAAATCCTAATAATGTTCATGTAGAACAAGCAGAATTAGAGAAACAGCAGAGTTTTTTTCAAGAAAAATTGCAGCCACAGCTCACGGATGGGCCCACAATGAGCAAAAATAAAAGAAGGAAGCTGAAAAAGAAACAGCAGATGAGGAGGAAGAAAGCAGCTGGCTTGGTAACCAAGGCATCTGGCATCAGCTTCATGTACCAGCCTGAGGACAGCAGCAGTGAGCAGGAAGACGGGAGAGGGTCTGCTGGGGAAGGGGCCCAAGCCTCTCTGGAGGAGGACAAGGGGGACTGCAGCGAGAAGGGCACGGTTACAGATGCCATCCAGGAAGATGCCAACATTACCAACAGCAAGGCAGACAGCATCTTAAATTTCCTGAAGTCAACACAAGAAATATATTTTTATGATGGTGGGTTTCTTCCTGTTTTCCTTTGAATAATGGCATCCACTCAGTATTTGGAAAACTCTCCAAATATAGTAAAATATCTAAATGTTTCTGACATCAAGCATGCTAAAATATTCAAAGTAAATAGTTTCAAGGCAAAAATCAGAATACTTCAGTTCTTCCCAGCAGAAAGCTGGACTGGTACACGGCTCCTGTGCTCCTTGTAGGGAAACAGCCAGCAGTGCTGTGTTGTTGTAGCTCCACGTGTGGGCTGTGTTCATGTTCTTTACTCTTCTAAAGTCAGATTTTGGAGTGTATGGTGCTCTGGACTGTGTTTCTAAATAAAGATAAATTCAGATAGAGATTTGATTTCCCCCAGCCCCTGTTCATATTCATAAGCTACTAAAGAAGTAACAAAGCCAGTATAATCCTTGGAACACATTTACTTTGCTCTCCCACATATAACTTACTAATTTAAGTTTTCAGTAAGCAGTTTTGAATAGCTATTTGTATTGATACAGAATTTGAACAATACAAGTAGATTTATTCTCAATAACAATTGCACTCTATTTGCAAACCTAAGAAGGAGAGAGAAGCAAGTACCAACAAGGATCCAGCACAGTCAGAAAATAGAACCCAGCCAACATCTGAAGCTGAGGTGGAAAGTAAGAAGCCAAGTAAAGGGCTGTGATGACATAGCCTTGGGAGCTGAGCAGGCAAGAGTTCCCCTACCTCAAATACCTTGAGAGGAAATAACAGCTAAGACAGAGCAGAGATGAGTACCCTTTACCAGTAGTGCTGCCCACCCTACTTTAGGCTTGAATGGTCAAGCCACTCTGTCTGCCTGGTAGATCAAAGGACTAGCCCTCTCTGAGAAAAGTATTATTCGAGACCCATATGATTTTTTGAACAACTTCACTGAGCACTTCCCAGGAACAACAAGAGACAGGACCACCTGATAAGAGACTGACCTCATAGAGAGCCTCAGAAGCAAGCTTAAGAGCAGAAGACATTGATGTTGCTAGACAGGGTCTTAAATAACTACAAGTAAAATGTTCTTGAGAAAAGATGAAAACAATGAGAACCTGTTATGACAATCAGATGGAAATTCTAGACCTGAGAAATAGAATAACTGAAATTCAGAACTCAAAAGGTAACTTTAAATGGCAGATTAGGCTCAGCATCAAAGAGAGTTAACAACTAGGAGGACAGGTCAGAGAAAGTCCCCAGGATTAAGGGTTAAAGAAAAGGGTGGAAATTATAGAAAGCACCTACCTGACAAGGATCCAGTGAGGCCAGACATCCATTTGGCTGGAGTCCAAGGTAAAGGAGGGAGGATGTCAGGAACTATATCTAAACAGATGAGACTTCTTAAAATGATGAAGGATACATGGTCACAGGTTCACATTCTGTGGACCCAAGGATTAATACAGATGACATCACACCTGAACACATAACAGTCAAGTTGCTGAAAGCCCAGGATAAAGGAAAGTCTTAAAAACAACCAGAGAGAAAAGACCCATTGTCATATCCCTCACCCCACCCCTGAGACCAGCACCTCAACCAGTGTGGACCCTTAGTCGGCACAAGAGAAGCCAGAATCTTTCTTGCATGGTTTTCTTTTTTGTCCTGTATGGCCAGCCGCCTTACTCTGTAAAGACACACAGCACGATGTGGAGAACTTGGTTCCTAGACTGGTTTCTCCTGCTGCTGCCCATGACACCAAATCATTTGTCACACTTGGGATCGGGTATGTAAACAGAGGCTGAGTTTCTATTGTCCTTCAAACAATGGCACTCTGTCCTCCCTCCTTACTTTTCAGAGTTCTACTCTGATTCTCTCTTCTGGTAGCTTTTTATACCTCAGACATCACACTCCAAGTGGAATGTATGTTTGAGGCCTCTTTAAAAGATGAAGGCTTACCTTTAGCTTACGAAAAAACTAAACCATACTCTACATGTTGCTGACTTCTTTCAGGTGTCTCCAAAGACTTGGACTTGGCCGTGTGTATGGAAACCACTAAAGAGCTGCTTCACTGCCTTGAGTCTCACCGCATGTCTCCCTCAGATGTGTTCATTTTGGACCACATGAAAACGCTGCTCCTTGTGCAAGACACTGGGAGACTGAAGAGGGCTCTGGAGATGTTCCCGGAACACTGTTTGATGCCCCCTGGTAAGTGCTGCACCGTCCAGCCAAGGCTTTCCACCAAAACAGCAGTGGGGCAGGAGACATATAGTGCACATGGCTGGAAGAAGAGAGTCCTGCAGAGAAATAGGTTTTTTGTGCCTCTGCTGGATATAAAAATATTTCTCAATATATGCCATCTAATTTTCCAGACCTGTGAGCTGTCAACTCTTAGAGCGGTCTTTCTAAGTTAAAATAAAAGTAGAAGAATCATTTCTTCCCCCTTTCCTTCTCTGCTGGATTGGCAGAAGGAAAAGTTTTTCTGCACTTAAAGATATTGGTGCCTTATTGAAAAATCACTGTAAGGATAATTAGAATATTAGATTTTTACAGTGATCATTCTTTTACTTACTTCCCTAATCTTTATTGGGTATCCACTCCATGAAAACTGCAAGATGTGCACCCAACTATCTTCAGGTCCACAGTGCCATGTGAGGGGACATGGGCCCCAGGGGACACAAAAACCTACAGACACTGAAGGCAGAGCACAGCCTGGCCTGCAGGCAGAACGGGGCAAGACTCACCTGAGCAAGTGACAAGAGCGATCTGCAGAACACTATGAGGGTCTCACCTTAGTGAGTGATGAGAGAACTTGTAGCTAGGGTTCAGGGCAATATGGTGCATACTTCCAGCCTCAAAGACCTCACAGTGCAGCTGGAGAGTCAAGACTCATATAAAAGCCAGACTGGTCTAGCAGGCAAGTGAACACAGGCAGTGAGTACTTTGATGTGTAAATTGGAGTCATGTGCCACCACATTTGAATATGCACTTCCTTTCTTGAGAAAGATGTGTCGAACATCCACTGTGCCCAGAGCTGCTCAGGTCCTGGACTCCTCAGTGTAGAAGGTAATGAAGTCCTTGTGTCCTAGAGCCAGAGGTGTTGCTAGAGTATCTGGTAGGTCTCAAGGGTGGCAGTTGTGGAGAGGGATGTAGATCAGCAGGTGGTTGTTCTTGCAGACTTTTGAGACAGAAGTGGCCCATGGGTTAGGAGCAAAAAGAAGCAAGGGGAGTCGAGCAGCTAGGAGGCCCTTGTGGTAAAGCAGAAGACAGTTTGAGGAGGTGACTGGCCCCAAGAGTCATGGCAATGTGTTGGCTCTTTTCAGAGAGAAACAGGAAGCTCCTAGAAGGTTCAAGTGACAGACCTGATTGCCCTCAGCAGGTTTTTGGGCTGCTGTATTGAGATTGGAGTGACTGGGCAACAGCAGAGACCAGGGGTATAGGGATGGTGTATAATGGCCCTAGTGTGAGCTAATCACAACATGGACCAGGGTGAGGTAACAGGAAAGGCAGGTGTGGCCAAGTTCCTGGCAGACTGTGGAGGAAAGCCAGTGGGATTTGCTGGTTGACTGGGTTTGGGATATAGGGGACAGACCATTGTTTGGCCTGAGCCCATGGCTCAGTAGTCAGTGAGAGGGAAAAGAGGCTTTCAGAAGTATCGAGCTTTGCATGAGGCTGTCAGGGCCCAGAGTTGGATGGATAGGGATGGAGGATTATGAGGGGCTGTATCCAAGGAGAGTGAAGCAAGGCTGTCTAAAGTGTCAGGCTTGGCATCAGTGCTCAGGGTTACATATGTAGGGATGGAGGTTTGTGAGGATGGTGATCATCTGGGCAGAGCAGAGTAGGAGGCGGGGGACAAAGGCTTCATTAATGAGGAATGAAAAAGATCAGAAGAGACAGTGAGCAGTGATGACTGGCAGGAGGGTCAGGTGCAGCAGAAGTCAGGAAGAGAGGCTGGAGAAGGCAGTGGGGTCAAGAAGTGCATGGAAGGAAAGGCAGGCCAAGAAGGTGTGCACCTCTGTAGTAGGGGTCAGTACCCGGGAATGAGCCTAGCTTTGCATGCTCATGTGAGACCAGGGTCCACTACCTGAGAGGCCAGGGGTTCTGCGTTTTTTTGATGGTTGACAGGCTTGCTATATTAAGTATTTGACAAATTTAGATTTCCATAATCAAGTTTTATCTCAAACTATAGAAAGTTAAACTTGTTTAAACTAGTTAAACTAATGAGACTTGTATGAAATGAAAACAAAGCTAATTAAAATTTGGAATTTCCATTTTTTAAGTTTATACTGGTTTTGACCCTCAAGTTTCTTCTTGTGTAGTATTCTATAGTGTGTCAAGTGCCTGGGCAGCTAGAGCCAGCAGAACCCCACTGAGAAAGTAACCGGTTCTGTGTTAAGATCAGTGGGCAGGGTTCATCCAGAGCACAATGACTACAAGCAGTTGTGCAAACCTGTTTTCTGTAAAATAGATTCCCTCTGAGCATGTGGTAGAATATGCGCTTAAAGTTGTCCTGTGTTAAGCTGTTTTGTGAAATAAAATTTTATAAATGATGAAGCTTTGTTTTCAAATATCAGATTTGTCTAATGAGAGTTGGCCTATGTAACCCATTGGAATTAGGTTTTCATCTTCATAAAAGTAGCTCGTGATATCTAACTGGTAGCTGTGTCTCTTATCTCTGTAGGGATAGCATGTAAAAGCAGGTATAGTGTTGTCTGCCTGACATATCTCCTCTCCCTGCCAGCTTAGTAATTCTTTTCCTAAATCGTAGATTCTTCACTGGAGTAGGACACAGCATCTTTGACAAGCTCATTGCTTCACATTGTTAAGCCCACGCTGTGCTTGGGAACATGTGGGCCTCATACTTGCATGTTACATTGTACCACAGACCGTGTTATGAGTCAGGGCTGCCATTCTCTGAACACTGTCACACACAGACACTGAGGGGTGCTATAGGAATTTCTGTGTTCAGCTGTAGGAATTTTTGTGTTCATTGTCCTCCTGCAAGGAAGGAAAGCTTGCAGGGGTCTTGCTTGCCCCGGGGCAGAAGACCGTGGGCCTTGTGAGGATCTTGGATGGCTTCAGACCCCGCTGTGGATCTGATCCAGTTTGGAAGTGAAGCATTGCATTGGTAGCAATGGACCAACTCTAGGAGCAGCCCTGAAGTCTGCTGAGACCTAGGGAGGGACCCCACTCCATTGCCACCCTTAGGGTTAGCATGTGCTTTCTGTGCCTGAGGGCATCAGAAGTGACAGATCCGTCCTAAACTAGATCCTAGTCTTCATATGTAAAGCCCGACATTTGAGGAGAAGCTTGACTAGGGACTCAGTTCTCCAGGGAGCCGTACGGGATTGGCAGGTGATGTTGGTGACACTCTTGTCTCTTTGGCAGTTTGCTCTTGCCAGTGTGTCCCATGTTGTATGACCCCAGTTTGCCTCACTTAGAGTTCTACTTTTAATTGTCTTTGACATTAACTTCTATTTCCTTTTAATTTCAGCTTGCTTGTGGTTTTCTGTCAGGTCAGTTTTAAAACTGTAATACTGTACAGGTTTCTGTGAGGTGAAGCACAGTAGAACTTTAGGGCTCAAGTGATGTTTATATGTTCAGAACTGACCCACTGTTTTGTCATATTTGTTTCATTCTGTGTGATGCACAAGTTATGTTATATCACTATCTGCATCATTTTTATACCAAGGTTGCATTTTATTCAGTTATTTCAGGATTTACTCTGATCCAAAGAGTAATAGCCTCAAAATAAGAATGTATGGTATCTCTTTATCATTGTTTTATTTTATGTTGGCCTTGTTTTTGTTTTTGCTTTCCAGACCATGCTAAAGTAATCTCAGCTTTCTTTAATTACTGGATCACACATATCCTTCCTGAGAAAAACAGTGAGTAAAATCAGTGTATCTCTTTAAGAAGAGCTAATCTCTAGCAAGAAGAAGATGTAAAAGACAAATATGAATTGGACTGAGAGCTCATTCTTATGTACAAAGAAGATTAAATTCTCAATATTTTCTCTGAAACTCAAATCCTGGGGAATTTGAAGCTATTTCTGCCATATTATTTATTCCTGTGTATGTACATAACGGTGAGATGTCTTCTGAGCCTTTAAATGAGAGGCTGGCATAAATTTTAAAGTTTTCACTTACTTCAGTTGCATTTGTCTTGAGTTGCTACATAAAAGTTTTTGTTTTTCAAATTCCTGTAAAAATCAGAGATGGACAATCTATTGAGTGAACTATAGTTTAAGCTGTTATGTTTTTATGAAGTTGTAAACCACCTGAGTCTGAAAACCTTTCAGAATGCTTAAAGTCTAGTTGGAGTAGTTTGATTGTAGCTAAATTTATTTTTTCCTCTCTTCTACAAAGAAAATAATGTCAGGAGCCTACTTTTCTTGTTTTATCTTTCTTTTTTCATGGGAGCATTCAATTTTTAGCATTGCTGAGTTTTAAAAGCATCAATCAATTGGTACATCATCCTCAGAGGACATTGGCTCTATCCATGAAAATAATGACTTTACTGTGATAACAGATGTATAACATACAGTTTGCCATCTTAGTTGTTTGGGGGTAGGCCATTCAGTGGCAGTAGGTCCTTCACCAGGTTGTGCAACCATCACACTATGTCTTTCTATGGCTGAAGAGCCTTCTGTTGTGTATGTAGATACTGCATTTTATCTAGCCAGTCATCTGTTGATGGACACTTGAGTTGCCTCTCCCTTTTGCCTATTTTGAACAATGCTCTAGGAGCATTCATATACAATATTCTGTACATGTTCTGTTTTCATTCCTTCTCGGAGTTCCATTGATGATCAGATGGTAGCTCTGTTTAATGTTTAGAGGCTCTGGCAGACTGTTTAACACAACAGCTGCACCATTTTATCTTCCCACCAGCAGTGTCTCTTTTCTTAGTAATAGCCATCCTGAGGAGCATGAGGCTGTCTGTGTGGTGGCTTTGCTTTCTATTTCCTAATGACTGATGGTGTTGAACATCTTTCCATGTGCTGTTGGCAATCTGTGTTCCTTCTGTGGAAAGACATCTCTTCAAGTCATTGCCCACTTGTGAATTGGGCTGTTTGACTTTTACTGTTGCATCATAGAACTTCTTTATATATTCTGGATATTAATTCTTTATCAGATACATGATTTGAAAATATCTTCTCCCATTTCTTGTCTTGCTTTTTCACTCTCTTGGTTGTGCCCATTGATGCACTAAAGTTTTTTACTCACTATGAAGCCCCGTTTATCTCTTTGCTTCTCTGTTGCCTGTGTTCTGGTGTTGTGTCTAAGAAATCATGGACAAACTCAATGTCATAAAGGTTTTACCTTGTGTTTTCTTCTAAGAGTTTTATGGTTTTAACCCTGATGTTTACTTCTTTGAACTGTTCCTAGGTAAATTTTGTATATGATGTAATGTATGGTCCTACTTTATTCTTTGGCGTGTGGATGTCCAGTATCCCAGCACCATGAAGAGACTGTCCCTTCCCTGGAGAATGATCTTAGTACCCTGTCAGAAAACAGTTGATGATGTATGTGAAGTTTTATCTCTCCTCCATTCCATTGACCTATGTGTCTGTCTTTATGCCACCATCACACTGTTTTGATCACTGTGGGTGTGTCCAGTGAAGTCTGAGATCTGATTACTGTGGGTTCTAGTAAGTTCTGAAATCAGAAATGAAAATCCTCCAATTTGTTCTTTTCAAGATCATTTTGCTGTTCAGGATCCCTGAGATTCCAATTGAGTTTAGTTTGGGATTTTTCAATTGATACAAAAAAAGACCTTCTTTTTGGATTTTGAGGGACAGCATCCACCTCTTCTCAGAAGAGAATCTGGATTCTCCATGTTTCTTTAGACCATCGCCACTGTCTGTTTCATGCACAATCAAGAAGTAGCAGGTCTCCACCCTGATCCTATGGAAGACTTGCACCCTAATGCTGATGAAGATAGGCACCATGGACTGCATTCTACAGAAATAGCCTGAGGCCTGAGTGCTGTGGAAAGTCATAGGAATGGCTGCAGCACTTTGGAGGGTGCTGAATCTATCTCCACCCAGTAGGTCTAAGTGCAGAACTGATATGTAGAAAAAGTAAAGAAGCCCTGGGACCATCCCCCCCCCTCACTATTTCCCCAGGTCCCCAATAGATATCTTCCACATGTAGAACTTTCTGGAAGCAGATGGAAACAAAGGATTTTCTCTGGTTCTAGAGATGGATCACCATGCTGAGCCTCAGTTTAGCAAATGTTGATAACTGGAGCCACACTGAGGCCTTGATGCCTGGACAGGTCCTCGAGAGCTGATGGTGGTGGCACATGAGATGCCCATTTGTCAACAGGTTCAGGTAGTAAAAACAAGATACAAGTACCACCCAGAGGCAACATTCAGGGAAAGGCCATTAGGAGAAGCGAGAGCTGCAGAGCCTTCGAGGGACATCTTTGTCATCCTTTGCTGCAATGTCCTTCCACCTACCTCTGTCCTCTTCCACCTCACCCTGAAGTTATCCTAAAGTGTTGCTGTGGTCAGATCCCCTCATTTCCTGGATGAGGAACCCATGCTGCAAGGGTTCTAACTTCACCAGCAGTAAAGCCAGTCTCCTCCTTCGAGAGCTTCCTGTGACCTGTGGATCCCGAGCTCTCAGTGCAGCAGGTTAAACCTCCCATTTCAATTAGTCATTTGCATGAGTCACTGCTCTTCATTAGTCATGTGCATTTGTGCTAGCATAAATATTGACAGACTTGCAATGTTCTCATTAATTCTGAACACCCATCTTTTCTTACCAAGGGAGTTAGTGTACTGTTGATGGAAGGGGGTTCTAATTGGTGGACCCTTCACTTTATTTCACAGAAACCCTGTAGACTCTTTTTGGTTTTACTTTGTGACACTTCTATGTCCATTCCTGAACATAGACACCATGGAGCAGGTGGAATGATAGGGGTTCATTACTTTTATATATCATTCTAATTCCAAAAAGACAAATTCATCTTCTAGAAAACAAAGCAAATAAATCTTGCCTCTAATATGTGGGTATAAACATGGTAATCTGTTTGTCCCACTGTGATTGAAATCAGTAGTAATTAGATCAATTTATCTTCTACAATGGTGCAAAATATGCATGCAGCCCATGTAATTTATTATATGTGAACCGTATTAATCAACACAAAGAGAAGGAAGCACTTAAAGAATGTGAGGAATTTTTGTTAGATTGCTAATATTGATGATTGTGCCTCAAAGAAAAAAGCACCAGTATTTTCTCAGCATGTCCCCCTTCTTTTCAATCCTCTGATCTCAGTGTTGCATTTGTGTAACTCACAGTGGTAAGAGAGCAAGTGTGAGGGCCTCCTTGGTGGTACCTAGGCCCAGCACTGCTGTGTTTCCTGAGCATCAAATGCCTACTGATTCATTCTGGTTTTTCCTTCTGTCCTGCTCTAACCTGTGCCAGAGCATCCTGCAGGGAGTGTGTCTTCTCATTTCCTAACATCATATTCTTCTGAGAACCTGATGAATGAAGCCCTCTCCAAACTAAGAAGCATGCACACAACCACCACAGTGTTGTGTGCAGTTTTGAATAAGCTGCATCATTTCCCAAAACTGTTCAGCAGTGTATTAGTTTTTGTCCACTGCCTAACAAATTACCACACAGTGCTTAAGAAAATATTACTTACTACATCATAAGGGTGTCCAAGGGTGGGCTGAGCACTGCACTCAGGATTTCTCTCACAGGGTCTTATGGGCCTGGTGCAGATTTCACTCCTGCTGTTGCAGGACTGAGGTTCCATTGCCTTTTTAACTGCCAGAACCTCTCTCAGCTCCTTGAGGTCTCAGTGCCCCAACCACATAGATTTGGATCTCCCCAATACAAGTCAGTCCAAAGCCACAGGAAAGAAGAGACAAATAGCAAGAAATGAGGCCTCAAAAACAAGGGTGGAGGGAGTTTGGGGAAGAAAAGTATATGAAGAGTTCCCTCACTGTTCATGGAACTGGACAACAGTGCCTTTTCCCCTGTGGGCCCGTGTGCCCTCCTGGGGCCCACTGTGACCTCCTAGGGGCCCACTGTGCCCTTCTTGGGGATCACTGTGCCTCTTCCCCTATGGATCCGCTGTGCTCTCCTGGAGCCCACTGTACCCTCCTGAAGTCCACTGTGCCCTCCTTCAGGCCCACTGTACCCTCCTGGGGCCTGCTGTACCCTCCTAGAGCCCACTGTGCCCTCCTGGGGCCCACTGTGCCCTCCTAAGCTGTTTGACCAACATCACAGCTCAGCACCACCAGGAGGTCAGGTAAAGGCCAGGCTCAGTCTCTGGCTGAAATGAGAAAGCCCTACCCTGCTAGCCTTGGAGACAGAGCAGTCATCACTGCACTCCAGCACCGGCTTCCTGTTGTCTGAGGAGTAAAAAGAGACTGGGAGGTCTGACCGTTGACATGGGATAGAGCATGGCCTCACATCCCTGGGCAGAGAGGTGGTTGAGGAATTTGAGTCCCTAACAGTAGCCACTATCCTGGGAGCACAAGGCCTGGGGCCTGGTTCTAAGCCAAAGCCCACTGGGGCACAGAGCAGCTGCAGCAGCCTGCAGTGAAGGGGTTGGGGCTTGGTGGTAACGAGGAGACAGCTGGGGACAAGCCCATCTCCCAGAGGTCCTTGGAGATTGTATAAGGCGCTTCCTGGACCTCCCAGGCATGGTCTGAGGGTGGAGCCATTTCTGAGGTCTTGGGAGCATGTAGTTGAGAGAGGGTGCATCCTAGGTTCCAACACATTGGCAGAGTGGGATGCTCCCTTGAAATCAATTCAGAGATGCTGGAAGAGTTTTGAAAGACACTGGTACAAATAAAGGACAAATGAGCCCTTGGTAAGCAAGAGACCACCAGGCAGAATTCCCTCTGGTGAACAGCCCCTTAAATCACAGAGCAGCAGCAGGAGCCAGCAAAATAGACAGGAGGTGAAGGCACATGCCACCACCACAGAAGCAACAGGGCTGCTGTGCCCAGCGTGGGCCTCCCAGGGATGCAGCTAGCACTTGTCTACTTCTGCTCTCCCCACCTTGGAGTTTGTGGTGCAGAGCAGCAGAAGGTTCCCTGATGCCTACTGTGAGTTGATCCTCACCTTCCTGCACACAGCTACCCAGCAAAGGATAGGCTGCTTTTATTAAGCCCTTGCTGTGTGCTCAGCCTCTTGGCGACAACTCTGAGTTAGCTGGGCTCTGCTTTCTCATCTTCTTTTCTTTGAGGATTGTTAGGAAGAGATAATCAGGTGCAGAAATGCTTCCATTCTGGCAGAGTGTTCACAACTTTGTATCTTTGTGACATTTTCATCAACTGAGAGAAAAATGAAGCAAAAGATGGAAATGGGACTAATGTAAGATGGGAAATAAACAGTAAATGTGTGACTCTTGACCATAATGTGCGCTCCTCAAAGCCAGGACAT